CCACACCAGCAAGTCCGATCCGCTTTGCAAGGAATGGGTTCTGGAAACCAGTGGATCTTCTTTGGCTGCTGTTCTTTCGATTCCAGGCGTCGATGCCTCGCGCACCTACTCTAACCAGTTTATTGAGATTTTCGAGGTCTTCGGTATTGAGGCTGCCCGTACAGCTGTGCTTCGCGAACTGACCCTGGTGCTTGCCTTTGACGGTTCTTACGTTAATCACCGTCACTTGGCTCTGCTGGTTGATGTTATGACTGTTCGTGGTTATCTGACTCCTGTTACCCGTCACGGTATCAACCGTGCCGACAATGGTGCCCTCATGCGTTGTTCGTTCGAAGAGACAGTTGAAATTCTGCTCGAGGCTGCTGCGTTCGGAGAGCTTGACGATTGCCGCGGTGTGTCTGAGAACTTGATCCTTGGACAGATGGCGCCTGCCGGAACGGGTGAGTTTGACGTCTACCTGGACCAGAGCTTGCTCAACACTGTCGTGTCCAACAATGCACGCTACGGCCTTATGGGTGCAGTCGGCGCAAAGGATGCCATCATTTCAGATGGTGCTGCTACTCAGTATGACACCGGTTCCCCCATGCCTAGCTCCCCCTACATGGCTGGTAGCGACCCTGATGCGACGTTCTCGCCTATGCACCAGATCGGCCAGGAGCCTACTGGAGGTCTCACCGAGTACCAAGCTAGCTCGACCTCCTTTGGTGGCTTCAGTCCTGCGGCTCGCAGCCCCGGTGGCTACTCTCCAACAAGTCCCTTCAATACTAGCCCGACGTCTCCTGGATACTCTCCGTCTTCCAGCTATTCGCCGACATCTCCTGGTATTGGCATGACAAGCCCGCGAATGATGACCTCTCCAGGGTTCTCGCCTTCGAGCCCATCGTTCCAACCGACGTCTCCGGCTTATTCACCAACCTCGCCTGCGTACGGCCAAGCGTCACCCACCTCTCCTTCATACTCTCCAACTTCGCCTGGGTTCTCGCCGACGTCGCCTAACTACAGTCCGACTTCCCCCAGCTTTAGTCCGGCCTCGCCCGCGTTCAGTCCGACTTCGCCGAGCTACAGTCCCACCAGTCCTGCAATTGGTGGTGCTCGGCACTTGTCTCCAACATCTCCCACCTCTCCCAAGTACACACCAACTTCGCCTGGTTGGTCTCCTACGAGCCCTCAGTCTTACTCGCCGACTTCTCCCAATTTCTCTGGTTCTCCGACGTCGCCTACCTCTCCGGCGTATAGCCCGACATCCCCAGCGTACAGCCCTACGTCGCCGCGTCAGTGAATATCATGCGAAGATGGCTTGCCTGTCTCAGGGTCGTGCTCCACACCTGTACCATCATCGAATTGAACCCCAACCACTAAACAAAAAAGATCTTTTCGCGCTACACATCTCGGAAATGATTGATAATTTTTTTTTCACGATATCGGGGATTGCCTCCCATTCATTGTATCTGTTTAGTCTTTTTTTTTAACCAATTAACCAACAACGCGTGCCCTCGCTTGGTTTCAGCCGCCATCGTTTTGAGATTGCTTTGCTTTTTCCCGGCGCACTATTTCCCCATCGTGCAAAGACCGCACATGCTTCGATCAGAACCGAGGACATACTCCATGGATACTGTGAGATAGGAGTGCGGACTTTGTTTGCCATTGGGGAATTTGTGCCCACATCCTTTTTATTGCATGGAAAGCGCACTGGGGATGTATTTTGACTGCTGCTTTCTGTTTGTACACACCCTCCTGAGGGGACGAGTAGATTCTAACAATGTTTATGACATTTCCAATCCTTTTCCTATAACTCGTAGCAAGTGTGCCTCCATGTAGATTCCTAGGATCTGGTGGTTTAGAGAAGTCTAGATTCTGTCCTAGTATTATGCACGAATTAAAGAACGTGTTTAATAATAGCCAAGAAGGATCTTGCGATATTATACATCATAAACATAGAAAATAATGCCTTACAGATGTCGTAGCAAGCATATAAGGTACGCAGGTACATCGGTACATACAATGTAGTGATTGGCCCTCGGCAAAATGAAGCTCCGTCAAGCCAAGTGGCCCGTACTCTGGCAACTACATCATATCACGATCCAGTTCTGTCGCTTTTGTGATTCACATTGCTCTGAGAGTCGCAATGTGCTTCACTCTCCAAAACTACATTAATATTTTGCAGGCATTATGAGGACGCCGCTCTCAGTCTTTCTCTCGGCCCTGCGTAAGATTTGCCCGCACCTGCAGGACCGCAACCGAAGCTGACTCCCATTTCCAGTGCTATTCCAGACATGCGCAGCTGGGCCTGGTCAGCCGCTTACTGATCAAACAACCTCCGAGGCAATCGGCCAGAATGCAGATCACGAATTTACGTTCCAGACAGGGGAAGCAGAGCCCCGACCCATGACTCGTGAGTAGAGACAGCTCGCGCCTTATCGACTGACGCTTGATACTGACCACCTTTATCGTCTGGTCATAGAACGAGTTGGGAATGCTTGGGACACACTTCGCACAACAAAGAACACAGTCCTTCAGTCCGACAAGTCGAGAGGGTTACTGGGGACTGCCGTATACTATGGCCGCCAAACGGTCCGACTGCTATTCTTGAATGGCCCTTCCACCGAAAAAACCGAGCGGAAATTGAACAAACATGTCACAGCAGCAGTGGAGGAGTTAAAAACAGCCGCAGTCGAAGACCGAGACCCGGATGCGATATTTTTGTTGGCAGAGATGAACTTCTATGGCAACTTCTCCTATCCCCGCGATTTTAAAGAGGCCTTCCGCTGGTACCATGAGCTGGCATGGCTGAACGGAAACAACACAGCGCAGAACATGGTCGGGTTCATGTATGCGACAGGGATCGGCGGTGCGGTCGAACCAGACCAGGCAAAGGCCCTAATGTACCATGAGTTTGCAGCGGAAGCAGGGAACATCCGTTCGGAGATGACACTTGCATATCGCTACCACACTGGCATTGGAACACCGAAGGCTTGTGATCACGCCATCCATTACTACAAGAAGGTTGCGGACAAGGCGATCGAGTACTATCGCTCAGGCCCTCCGGGTGGCAGGGCTTTGGTTCGAGAATCTTATCGCTGGGCAGATGAAGAAGGTGGCGTCTACGGTCCAGGAGCCAGTGTATCGAGCTCGGGACAAAATGCGCGGGACTCTGCCAATGCCAGCCCTGAGGCCAGCGTGGAAGATATCCTGGAGTACTTGGACCTCATGTCCCGGAAGGGTGAGCTGAAAGCTACGTACACCCTCGGTAAGATGAACTACGAGGGCGCCCGGGGCTTGCCGCGGAATTTCCGACGGGCCATGAGGTATTTCAAGGTTGTTACCAAGAAATATTGGAACAAGGATGGGTCCGTCAACTCGAACCCTCCTGCAGGCCTTGATAAACTGGCATCCAAGGCTGCAGGACATATTGGTCTGATGTACCTCCGCGGAGAGGGGGTTGAGCAACACTACCCGACTGCCCTCACATGGTTCCGGCGGGGTATTGCGAACGGCGACTCTCTATGCCAGCATTGGATGGGTCTGATGTATCTTAAGGGCTATGGGGTTACACAGGATGGCTTCAAGGCAGCTAACTACTTCAAAGCAGCGGCAGAGCAGGATTCCCCGGCATCAGAATCACGATTGGGTGCGCTGTTCTTGGATCAAGGAGATGTGGCAAGCGCAACACGCTACTTTGAGCTTGCTGCCCGCTGGGGGTGGATGGAGGCATACTACTACCTAGCGGAAATGGCCAACTTTGGTATCGGCAGACAGCGGCACTGTGGCGTGGCCACCGCCTACTACAAAATGGTTGCCGAAAAGGCAGAGATCGTCCACTCAGCCTTCGCGGAAGCAAATGCTGCTTACGAATCTGGTGACAAGGAGGGCGCTCTCATCCCATCAATGATGGCAGCAGAACAGGGCTATGAGAATGCCCAGGCAAATGTGGCTTATCTGCTTGATGAGCACCGCTCTGTGCTCTCGCTCAGTTCCATTCTTCCATGGGCAGAGAAGGCTCGCTCCTCCTTGATGCGCAATGCGAGACTCGCATTGATTTACTGGACTCGCTCTTCGAAGCAAGCTAACATTGACTCCTTGGTCAAGATGGGTGACTACTACCTGTCTGGCACGGGTACACCCGTCGATGCAGAAAAGGCCTCGATCTGTTACCACAATGCTGCTGAAGCCCACCACAGTGCACAGGGCTACTGGAATCTGGGCTGGATGCATGAGAATGGCGTGGCAGTGGATCAGGATTTCCACATGGCCAAGCGGTATTATGACTTGGCTCTCGATCTCAGCCCCGAAGCGTATCTGCCAGTCAAGCTCAGCTTGATCAAACTCCGAGTTCGAGGATACTGGAATCGTATCACCAACGGAGATATTAACCCCATCCGCGAGGAGGAAGGTAAGCAGCTTTTTCCCACTTACCCTGTGAAAAATCAATCGCGTCTTTCTGGTTTCTTACTTACATTTTCTCCCCAGACTCGAAGCCCCGTCGTACCTTCAAGGAATGGGTCAAGGCTTTCATTGAGAACGACGAGGAGGGCTATTATGAAGACCTTTACGAACAACAACAACGAGGAGAGGATGATGAATATCGTGGCTTGGAGTCTGAAGGCCATGAGGACGGCTACTATGACGACCTGGACCTGGATATCGACGAGGGAATGCTCGAGGGTCTGCTCATTGTCGGATTGGCTGCTACGCTGTTGATTTTGGTTTATTTCCGTCAGCAACAGCAGCGTAACCGACAGAATGAGAATGCCAATGCCAATGCCCAGAATGGGAACGACAACGACCGTGGGGTATTCCCTCAACCTGGTGACCCTGAATTTGGGCAATGGGTAGCAGGAGGAGTTGGTCATTGAGATTTTAGTGTATGCATTTTCAGCGCCTGTAGATAAATTTTATTGCTTATCGATAAGACATCTCCGCATTTCACTTGGCTTCTCCAACTTTTTGATATTTCTTCTGAACACACATCGAACTTTTGAAGTCTGTATCTCAAATTGATGATGGACACGCCATCTAATAAACGTCGTCGCATCAACGCAGCTACCGCTCTCTCAAAGCCGTTCAAGTCACCGCTACGCAGACCTCCACCAACCTCCACTGACGACACACCATCCAAGTCTGTCGCATCCAGGAGTCCTGATGACACAAAAGTTCCAGGGACTCTTACCATTCCTGTAGAGTCCAACTCAATACCAAACCCACCAAGTCCGACAGCAACTCCAGTACCTCCTAAGCGCAAACGCACGCTACAGCTCTTTTCCCCATTCCCCTCACAATCATTCCAAACCTCCGACCCAGAGATCCTAGAGCTGCAAAAACAGCATCGGGAGATCCAGTCAAAGGTTGATGCGCTTATAAACAGACTTGAAATTGCAACTCAGGCCCACAACCTCGAGGCAAATCCCAAATACATCGAGATTCCAACTCTCATCACCAAATGGCGGCTCGCCAGCCAGGACGCTGCCGATGAGGTATTTGTCGGTGCCAAGGAAAGGGTTAATCGTATGGGAGGATTGTCGGCCTGGAAAGAACAGTCGAAGCGTGATGCGACTCGATGGCAGTTTGACGAGGAGCGTCGTGAGCAAGAGCACATTGACGAGGAGGAGGGAGATGCCGATAACTGCAACGTTGAGGATTCTTCTGGTCATCTACTGAACAAGAATAATGGAGAGGAGGAGAGTCAGGATGAGGTACGTGTTGTGATACTACCGTGGTTCTTGGTGGAATCTGTGTACTGACATTGTTAGGAGTTCACGATGAAGTCCATGCTCAAGAGTCTACATGTTGATCCTAAGTTGATTGGATATGATACCAAGGCTCAAAGATGGATCAAAAGCTGATTGTCGATGTCGACTTCTTGACCCAGTGAGAGTTCTTTATAGGGCTTGAGGAAACGAGTAGGAATGTTATGACCATGGACTTTATTTCCAACCCTTGACGATGCTAAGATCTTATGTCAACATATGTTAACAAGCAGTATATAGTTAATAAAACATTTCTTATCAACATCGCCTAGACCTTCCTATTGTAGTCCGTTAATAAGGAAATATCGCACCGGCGCGGATCAACTCCGTTATCGCAAGTCTCCCCGCATTTCCTCCCACTCCCTATATGTGCCCAATTGCTGCATGTCGCGCCCTTTGAAGCATAGAGATATAGCATGCGCTCGCTGCTTCCGACACAAGCGGAAATGTGATCATGAGAAACCTTCATGTGGCGAATGTCGTCGCAAGGGTGCGGAATGCTTGCCTGCTCGGTCTCGGAAAACGGGAGATAACATCACAATCCCACTGCAATATTTGAGACAGCTCGAGAAACGGGTCGCGGAGCTGGATCGTGAGTCCAGTACTACAGAAACTACGGTGGAAACATGTGATGCTGGGGTTCAGACGGACTTGGAAGACCTAGAACACAAGCGCAATGACTCAGACTACCCGATGGCTAATCAGGATAGTAGCGGAGTAGAGAATGATGGGTCTCTCATACTTCTGTCAGACTTGCAACACAGCAGCCAAGGATCGCCTCGAACATCTCCGCCATCTTTCTCCCCCGACGCATTCTCTTTATTCCCGGAGACGACTTTCGAAGTCCCATGGATTGACTTGGCACCCTCATATCCTTTGACCGATGACGACTCTCCTTGGCTGAGAGAGCTCTACACAAATGTGTATTTTTCCGTGACTCACCGCGAATGGCCCTTCTTGAACGAAGCAGCTTGGAAATCATGGCACGCCGAAGCAATCCTGGATGGGCAGGATGAATGGAAAGCCTTCTTTCTGCAGATGGTATATGCTATCGGGGCATCTCTTTGCAGTAACCTACAGCGAGACCCCTCGCACTGCGTCCGGTCAAAGGAATACTATGCCTCGGCCATGCGATATTATCCATATGTTGTTGGGCATTCGTCTATGGTCTTACAAATCCAAGCTTCACTGTTCATGATACTTTATGCTATGCATTCTCCTTCTTCTGAGGATATCACAACGAGCGTCTCCTCTGTGTTACCTTTCTGTACAGCTGCCATGACAGAGATCCGAAAGCACGTATCGATATGCCGCGACAATGGGTCTATGACCGAGTCTAGTGAAGTTTTGTCTGAGAACATGTTCATCACTTGCTATATGCTTAACGAAGTTATTGTCTCCGGGTGGGATCGCCCAGTATCAGCTGCTTACAGGGTTGTTGATGATGACGTGAGTTATCCGAAAATAAGTTTCTACATAGCTTCTCACAGTCACTGATTCTCAACTTAGATGTGCACTCTGGGAAATACCCTCCAGCCAACCTTAAGCACAAACCCTGCCATACGCCACTTGTTCCGACTACGCAAGATCCAAGCCAGCATCAGAAGATCGCGGGAGAACCGACCGCGCAATCCCCTTGCCAGGGATGGTAAAGGCTACAGCTCCTCATTCAAGTCCGCTCTGGATAAATGGCGACAAGAGATTCCAAACTATGAATCAGACAATGCTCAACACGGCTATCTCCATCCCATATGGATGAGAAAGCTGTATGTATACAGTCTCTTGATCTTGATAGAAGAGAAACGTGATTTCATCGAGATGGACGGAACAGAGGAAATTCTCGCGACAATTGCGGAAGCCTGTCATAATTTCCGGCTCTTGCAGGAAGAAGGACATGTGATGTGCTATACTTGGTCTGCAGTATGTATCAAGAGCCCGGTTTATTTTTCTATCGCGTTGCACTCGAATTGAACTAACAAGAAATCCATCATTAGCTTGTATTCCAATTCCGTGCAGGAATCATGATGCTTTACATTGTCTGGGCGACAGTCCCTGTATCTGATATTCGGAATCAACAGCGCATTAGACAGGCCATTGCTACATGTGCAGCCAATCTGGCTGGCTTTGTCGACCGATGGAAGGACGCAATGCCGTATATGAACGTGCTCGAGTTCATCCGACAGAAGATCATGTGGAACGCTGGCACATTTGAGCCCAATTCTAGTGCTCCGGTCTCACTGGAGCAGGCTGAATTGCACTTGGAGCAGTTGAGGAAGAATTATCTGCACCGAGCTGTCTTGGGGATGATTGAAGATATGATGTATGGGGGAAGTATACATCAGGACTTGTTAGAGGGTGATTTTAAAGAGATCTTGTAAATATGAGAGCTTTGTACTTTACGATAGTGCTACATAAACGAATAATGGAAAGAAGAATTGCGTTCATTTGGGCGACATTAGGTCTTCATAATAAGATCAACTTGCCCGTTGTCGAGCCCGCCTTTGTATGAGCTGTGATGATTACGATAGTCTGTGTTAAAGTAGGACTCGACCACCTCTTCCAGGGTTGATCACGTTCCGATGCGGGATAGGAAGCCTGGATAAACCATCTATCGCCCTCTATGACCGGATTGACCACTTGGCCGTTGACATAGCATTCCAAAGTCTCCAACTGGGAGTTCTTGAGTACCACTGATCCCTGGATCTGGATCACAACGGTGGAATCGTGAATCTCCTTCACTCGAGTCTCCACCACCAACTCAACGGTCGATGGAGAAGCCCATGGCTGAGAATCTTGAGCACCCTTGATGAGATCAGAGTCGAGAGCAGGCACGAGCGATGGCTGAACACGGCCCTTCATCGCCTTCTCAAAAGCAAAGCCATACTTAAGTAGACTGTTATCGTCATATGCCTTTCCAGCAAAGGTAAGGTTCACCGGCATCCCCGTATCTTCCATGATACCCATCGGAACAGAGATAGTGGGCACACCAAGATGACGAATAGGTCTGTTACCATTGGAGTACTTGACGCCATTACTCCACGCAAACAGTGACGCGGTTTCATTGCAGTCCGCATCAGCAGCGCCGATGTCACCATTAGCTGGGAAAACCACAGCATCAAGCCCAAGCCCATCTATCCAGTCCTCAAGAGTCTCCTTGCGCGCATTCTCAAGAGCCTGGATTCCCCGCTGAATACCGGGGATCTCATAAATAGACGCCGGCCTCTGGTGTGGGTATTTAACCATCTCATCCCACCGCAGCGCATTAGCTGCGTCGGGCGCACCCTTCAGAGACCCCGGTGCAAGCGGGAAGATGGTGGTCGGATCAACTTGAGAAAGAGTCTCGAGACCCTTTTGCCCGTTGTTAATCAGGAAGTCATCCCAGATATGCGCGACGAGTTCACTCCGCTCCAGCGTGGACCAGCCTTCTGGTAGTCCGGCGACGGTGACGAGCTGACCCTTGTCTGCGTTTGATTCGTAGGATGTCACGAGTGGAAAGTCTGTTTCGATTACCTCCGCACCGCAGAACTCGAGGACCTTTCTGGCGTTCTGCCATAACTTGACTATGGAGGGCCGGGTGTTTACCCTGCTAGCTGGGGATAGAGACGAGTCATCGCCTCCGATGTACATTGACGGTATTCCAATGCGCTTCCCGCGCAATGATGTGCCATCTTGTAATTCTGAAAAGGACTGCGGTCGGAGTGTATTGATTGAAGGGAGAGATATGAGTTTTTGCTCCTGGTAGAAATCTCCAATCGGGGCGTCATCGGACACAGCAAGAACATCTAGGACCTGGAACATATCTGCCATAGTCCTAGTGTGAGGGACCAGAACATCACAGGTCAAGTATAGTGGCCAGACACCACGGAGAGGAAGAAGGCCTTTCGAAGGTGTGTATGCAACAATGGCATTATTTGAGGCCGGCGAGCGACCCGAAGAAACGGTCTCGGTGCCTAGAGAAAAAGCACAAAAGTTGGCCGCCGTCGCGACGGCCGATCCGTTTGATGAACCGGAAGCATACGCCGCCGCCAGATATGCAGGATTATACGGACTTTCAGCGCGCCCATAGGACCCGCGTTGCATCCCACCGTACGCCATGGCGGGCATGTTCGTCCGGCCGAGAAGCACGGCGCCGGCCTCGCGGAGTAGTTGGATACAGGCAGCATCTTCGTTGGCAATGAGGGTCTCAAATGCAGGTGATCCGCTCGCAACGGTCATGCCCTTGACTTTAATACTGTCTTTTGCGAGGTAAGGGATACCCTCCAATGGACGCGGTGGCAGACCGGCTGCCCGCCGGGCATCAGAGGTGGCTGCTTCGTCGAGGACAAATGGGTTTAGGACTGGGATGGCGGTGAGCTTTATAGTGTTTGCATCGTAGACGCTGATTCGTCGTAGGTACCGTGATACCAAGCCGACACTAGAGAGCGATCCTGCAGAAAGCGCGGACTGGAGCTCGGAGATACTCGCGTCCAAGAGTGAGATGTCTTTTGATTGAGCCATGGGGGTATTGTGGAATACAAATAGAATGCAAGAAATTGAAAGACAGTCTAATGTAGTAAATACAGTAAATGCAGTAAGTGTAAATGTAAATATAAAAATGTCAATATAAGTAGAGAACTCCCCATAAAGCGGACTATAGTCCGCCTTCCCCACACTTTTCGGACTATTGGCCGCTCTGCTATCTTTTCCTTTGACCAAAGAGATAAAAGAAGGGATTATGCTTATCTTCTTGGCGTTGATAGAGATGTCAGTGCTCAATTATATATATATATATATATATAATAACTAGGACTTCGATATGGGAACTTCCCCCAGTTCTATCAAACTTGAACCCCCTTCCGCCTATAATGAACCCCAACGACACCAAAGTGGATCAGTCCGCTACAGAGAAAGATGTTACGCATGTTGCACTTGGAGAGACTCATGATATTGGAGCAAATCTATATCTAGAGGCAGAGCAGTTGACTGTTGAGGAACTGGAGACAGAAGGTCCCGAGGTGCTAAGGATTATCGATTGGAGGATTATGCCCATGGTGAGTTATCACTTTGATACTTTGATGAGGATTCTTTCTAATAGTCTGTTGTATTATAGCTCTACA